ATTAGGAAAAACAAAAGTGGCGAAAGGCTGGATCGAACCCAGGCCCTTAGACACAAATGACTTATCGTGTGCGCTTCTAGCGTTAGGGCGCTAGTTCCCTAGCTCCGATCGTCTTCTCCGGCTGCCCTTTTTTGCCAAACCTGCAAAATACACATAATTAATAACCCAAAAACCTCCTACCCCCCTAAATTGAGGGCTGCGAGTTTGATAGAATAATTGTTTTAGTCTAAAATACATGGTTTTTGAGATATAAAGAAAAACGCATGAATCGGTGTAGCTATGGTGATTCACGATTCTAACTGCTTGGGACCCCCACGATTGTTCTATCATGCACTAACAAACCTCATGAACACATTAGTGACATTAATACATGTTAAAGCAAACAAAAAATCAATATATGAATGTTATGAAAATTACGAAACCAGAGATGCCATGCCATGATATTTCATGCATTTGGGATCATCAAAATTGCTCCAATCTTACCCTGGGAATGAATGGAGTTGATTGGGATGGTTAGTTTGTGGTGAAAGGGTTTGTAACAAGGGTTTCAAGATTTCTAGGATTCTTGAAAAATTTGATGTTTTGAAAAGTATTTTTGGCAAGGGTTTTGTGTCCTTGTTTTCATGAAAAGAACAAGATTATATAATGGAAATTAGGGCAAAGATATGGGATTGGTCTTTGTAATAAAGGCCTATGTATTTTATTTTATTTATTTTGCATTATTAATGAATAAATAAAAAATAATTCAAATAATTGAAATAAAAATAGGTAAAGGGGTGTAAGAACAAGATTTGAGGTGTATGAGGTGTATAATACACGTTTGGACTCTAAACCATGGCCCAATAGCCCAAAATATAAAGCTTGCTTACTTTGAACTTCATATATTTGCTCAAAATTTCCCAACTTGTACTGGTCATAACTCTCTCAATTTTTATTTTTTGAAGGTGATATTTGACTTTTTGGAAAGACCAAGATGTCTCTACAATCTCTATGTTGATCATTTTTGTATTTGGAGAGTTTATCTTGATGTAAGTTACCTTGATAAAAAGTGTCTTTTTGTTGACTTTTAAAATGACATGTAATGTATTTACTCATATCTCTCAAATAAAGCCTTTTTGAACTTGAGCTTAGAGAGACAAAGTTGTAGAGAAATTAATTTCCTTCAAAATGAGCTTTGGTTGAGAAAAATCTAATGAAGCATGTGAAATTTATGTTTGGTCAGAGTTCAGTTGGCTTCTTATGAAAACACTAATTTGGCAACTTTGACTTTTGATGAATTGAGAGTTTTCTTGATGAATCATGATCAACCCTTGATCAAATGATGAATGTGACTTCAAGATCTTGATGTTGACCAAAAATATTGAAGTTTTACTGTATGTTGACCATATTTGACTTTTTACCCAATACAGTTGAATTTTAGTCATCGGAGCAATTGACTGAGCAAACTTGTGTTGCAAGACTTGAAATTTGGCATGAGCATTCCTTGAGACATATGAGGAACCATGAAATTCACTTGAGTCATTATAAGCTGAAATTTACTTGAGAAAAGTGAAACCCTAGTTGTAGGTCAACTACTTAGGAGGAGAATTTGTCTGATCAAACATTGAGTAACATTTAGCATTTCAAAACCCTAGGAGCATGAGGAGGTATCTTGAAGAAAATGGAAGGGAAAATTTTGAGGTACAACAGATTGAAAACTGATGATGAAGAGTATCATACTTCAAAGATTAGGACGAGAATAAGAATGAAGATGTTGAATATTTGCGATTGAAATGAACAAGAATGAATATTTTGGAAAATAAAAAGTGTTGTTGTTGTTGTCGCTGGTTCACTTGTTTGCCTAGGGAATCTTATGAAAGAAATTTCAAATAAGTTGTTTTAGTTTATCAAAAAAATCTTTGATCACAATTAAACACCAAAACCATAGTGGAAATTTAAATAATCTAACAATTGTTGAGTCAATCCATCGTAATGACATCCCTTTTATTTTTTATTTAAAAATAAATAAAAAAGAAAAGGTGCGCCTTAATGATAAAGGAATAAATTATTTGATGGAGCTGAGGTTCGAACCCAAGAAAATTTAATTGTATAACCACGGTTATGCCAACAATAGATATTATATCCTAACAATTTTTAATTAAAAAAAATGTTAGCGCGTGAGTTTAGAGATGTCATAACGGTGTTGGAAAGAATCATGATGAATTGGGTGTTTGTTGTTTGCGTGTTTTCTAGTAGTGAAGACTCTACCGAATGGAAAAATATTAAAACCCCAAAGCTACTTATAGTCTAACTCTTCAAGAAGCCAAACTTGTTTGCCGATGGTTAAATTAATTCAGAGTGCATGATGGTTATGCTTCTAACTTGGTAAGGAGTGCTAATGCCAACACTGGAATGTTTCATGGAATGAAAAGTCATGATTGCCACATTAGCCCATCAAGAGCATGATGACCATATATTGCCCGCTCATGAGGAGGAGGAGAAGGAGGACATTGAGGACGTGGACGCGGCTGCGTTGGAAGTTCAACATAAGATGTTTGAGAAGATGGGTTATTAGGCTTGTTTGAAACTCATAAGTTTCTTTATAATTTAAGCATATGTACATGGTGTCGTTTTTATAAATTTAATTAATACTTAGTTAAATCATTGTTGTTTAGTTTCTTGCCAGGTAGGCCTGTTGTAGTAAGCATAAAAGAGGTTATTCATTAGTTATATAAACAATCTTGGAAGACGTTCGAACATCTTATAAAGAAGGATTATGAATTGTATAAAACTTGGTTTGACAAATTTCAGGTATAATATTTTCTTTAAGCAATTAATTTTTTAATTACTAATTGTCTTGTTCTAATTATCTAATAATTTTTTCAATATGGCAGAAGAAGTGCATACGGTACACACTAGATGACGACATGATTGAGCCTAATTTTAAGAAGAGAGCAACAACTTGATTTTCTGACATGCTTAGGCATGCCAGCCTTGGCTGGGAAGAAAGAGGGATCAGACCTCCATAGATAGGAGGATATGTATTTAAAGAAATGTTTGCTTATTGGAATTCATATGAGTTTAAGAAAAAAATCTGAAAAAGCAAAGCAACGTAACGTAGAGTATCTTTAAGGGGAGCCGCTAATCATAGAGCTCTGAGCATTAGTATTACCAAACATGTTGAATGGATGGTAATTAGATTTTCATCTCACTATTTTTTTTAAATTATATTCTTAATTGTGATATATTTTTAACTAAAGTTTTATGTATTAATTAGACGGGGAAGAGTCGTCATGTCCTGTAACATTAAACCATCAAATGGCTGAAACAATTAGACAATTAGTTCAAAGTGAAGCAACACGTGAAGCTGCGACATGTGAAGCTGTAAAAATGTTGAAATGGAAGAAATGAGAAAAAAATTGAGTTGGAAGAAGCATTGATAATTTCACAAGAGTAAATAAGTGTATACAACAAGAAATGCAACAACAAATACAACAAATATTTCAACAACAATATGGTGGTGGCGGAGTTGGAGTGGATGGTGACCAAGGAGCGGTAGGCGAGAATGAAAATGCTTAGGGCAACGAGAATGACGAAGACTATTTGGATCAATGAATTTAAATATTTTGAGTTAATTATGAATTTAATTAGTTATGAATTTTTTAAATTAATTATAAATTTAAATATTTTTAATTATTTAAGAATTTAAATTATTTATTATATTTATATTATTATAAATATTAAAATTAATATTTAGAATAATATAAATATATAATATTTTTTATTATATTATTTACGGTTTGCGTGGTACAATTTATTTGCCAATTTCAAAATATTTGCGAGGTCATTTTCATTCAGCAACATATAGCCTATTCAAAATTTTCCAGGTGACATTCACCTCCCAACTTGATGTTTGCTCTGCTCTGAAATCATCCTACTTTGCTCTGTCACACACGTTTTCTGCTCTGAACTCTAGGAAAGGGATTGCGAGGTGAATTTCACCTGACAACATTGCTTAGTGATTTTCACCTAGCTACATTGTGGCATGCTTTTCTCCTTGCAATTTGTTGCGACTAACATTTTTGCAGAGTGTTTAGTCTATCCCACAATAGTTTAGTTGCAGGGTGATATTTTCATTTGCGAAGTGCTTTTTAACTGACAACTTGAAGTCTTTTTTGTAGTTGTAGTGATTTTAAATTTATGTTTTATATAATGGACTTAAGTGACACACATTTAATGTACTCGAAGAAAAGGAAAAAATGTAGTTGTTGAAAATTGAAGCTTGTTACACATAAATTATCACCACGAGTTTTAAGAACAACCGTCATTAAATTACTTTTTATAAAAAAAAGACATTCACCGGAAGCTTCAACTTTAACATATTATAACGGTATATAAGATAACGTTGTAACTTTGACGTTGTTGTATCTACTTTTTGTTGCAGTGCCATGGTAGGACTTGACTGAGTAGATCATATTTTGAAGACATTCAACTCATTAATGGGCTCAAAGGGGATAAACAAGGAAGTGTGTGGTTAGTGAAGTGTTGTTCAATGTAAAACTTCTATCATGACTACAGTTTGTTATTGATGTAAAAACTAGAAGATCTTGTTATGTGGGTTAGAGTTTCCCTTGTACTCTGAATTTTAATACACTTTGCTTATAAAAAAACGGTTAAAATTGTGGTTAAATAAAATTATGACAGTGGCTAAAGTATTGTTTCCACATTTTCCCAAATCAAAAAAGAAGAAGTTTATAAGGGTAAAATTGGGACGAAAAGAAGCTAGACTAAAAACATGTTTTTCCTTTACATATTATCATAGATATTGCATACATAGACGTGTGGATTTATGGATTTCCTAAAAGAAAGAAACTAAACAAAAATAAAGGGAAAAGTTGCCACTTCCAAACAAAGAAATATGAAAAAACTAGATTTATTCTAATGGGAAGCTATTCATAGAAATCAAATGAAAAACTATGATTTAAATCCTAATGAACTAATAATTTAATTGAAAATTTACATTATGGATTACGTTGTTTGAAGTAAGCCAAAACTCCAACAAAAGGAGCATTGATATATGTAGTTGGCTCTGATTGAGTAACATTAAAACGCGAATCTTGATAAGAGTCGTCCTCTGCTGGTCCTCCAACAATTGCACCAGTTAGTAGATTGATATTTGGTGATTGTGACTCAAAATACTTGTCTCCATCACGACACTTTATATGTTTTGGGTACACATCTATTGATGGCATTGTTGAAGCACGATGGTGTATCTTTTGAGGGAATTTCTGTCCATATCCTACCATGTATGACATTCTTAAAGGATTGTTTCCTAGAACATAGTCCACCTTAAAAAATATATAAATCGAGGAACATGTGTTACTAGTAGTTAAAAATAAGAAATGTAGTTTTCTCCAAACACTTGATTGATAAGTACCTGAGTTTTTGCAAGATTAACGAGGTCAGCTGGTTTGGCAACAACATTGCCACAATTGACTGTTTTATGGTTAACTTGCATGTAACGTGCATATACAATTAACAGAAAAGAATAGGATGTTACATGTTGCAAATTACTTGGTCCAAGTTTGAATAGAAGCCCACCTAATCAACATGCAAAAATCAATTCATGTAACTTAAACATTTATTTTTATGATAGCTATAAAAATAAGTATTTATTCGTAAATCAATTCATGTAACTTAAATATATATTTAGTTTGCACGAGTTTCAACTCTATGGAATTGAGTGAAAAGTATTATCGCTTACCTTTAGAATATGTGACTGCTTTGGTTGGTGAATTAGGCAATAATGAACATATAAGATTGTCTGCATTGGAAATGAAAGGATTTTGATTTGATGGATCGTTCATCACCCGCTGCAAAAATATACTCTCTCGGGTCCTTTTTATAAGAAACATTTAACCTTTATAGATTCATGAAAGGTGAAGTCCTTTTTATAAGAAACATTTAACCTTTATAGATTCATGAAAGGTGAAGTGTCTCTTATAAAAAGGATCGGAGGAATATTTGAGAAATGTTATTACATATATGTTGAATTATGCGGATTTATATGAGGACGGGAGGGTGCCATATTACCCCTCAACTTCAAATAGCCGAATGATAAATGATAAATGTTAAAAATTTCTCCAAATCAATTTTATAAAATTGTTTTTAAAAAATATTAGTGTTGTCTGAAGTAAATTTAAATATTTAATAATCACCATATCAATTAACAATTAATGTTAATTCTAAAAAATTATTTTGAACTATATTTTAGTTTTTGGCACCCATACAAATTTTCATGAAATGGTACAAAACTAAATGAAAATTGTTGTGTAAAAAAATGTTACACTAATAATGAGAAGTGCACTAACCTCAGAAATAAGTACATTAATTCCAGCATGCTTTGCATCCCATCCGAACTCAGTTAAGGGTCCTAAGGATTGTATATTTGATTTTACAAAGTTCCAATAAGTTATATCATTAGAAGCCTTATACAACCATGCAGCACCCCAAACCAGCTCATCCTGAATTACGTGCAATAAATTTGATAGTATTTTTCAACATACAAATGATGAATTATATGATCAAGAAAGCCATACCATGTAGCCATTGAAATCACAATAGAAGGGGCATACTCCATCACCTATAGAATCATTATAACTTCCACGGTGATTATTTGCAAAGTCAAATACCTAAATATCAATATATAAATATATTAATTTTTTTGATAACGAATATCCTCTACGTATAAGTGTAACAACTAATTTCTGAAGTCGGGGAGAACCTCAGGTATACATATATTAATTAGTAACATGGTATTTAAAAAATTACATAAAAAAAATGGAAAATAAATGTATGCTACCTGTTTAGCCCTAAGAAGAAGATTTCTAGAGTATCTACCATCATTTTTGCTTAATGCAATGGATGATGCAGCAAGAGCAGCCGCAATCTCGGCCGAAACCTCCGAACCAGGCTTAGTAGTAGTGACAACATATGTTTTTCTGGAAGTGTCCATGTCTTCTGGTCTTTCCCAACAACTGTGGTCGCTATTGGGATCTCCAATTTGTGCTATAACAACATTAGGATAAATTGTTGCTTTTAGGAAATAATCAGTTCCCCAACGGATTGCTTCGAATGCATGTTGCAAATCTGGACCCATGAGATCTCCAAATTCTATAACACTCCAAGCTAGCATGGTTGTCGTAAATGCCATAGGGAAATGGAACTTTACATTATCACCAGCATCGTAGTATCCACCATCCATACGCATCTGTTTACATATTTTTGCATATTAAACTTTTTAAAAAAAAATTAAAGAGATTGATTTCTAAAAAATATGAAATTAAGAAAGTTTTTATTAAATAAAAATCTCATAAAAAATTACATATAAGGAAAAGTTTGCATTAATCCATTATACTCTATTCATTTTGGTTCAATTCCAGAATTAAACTAGACAAGTAAGATAATTTCACACTACCATATCATGCTGAATCACACATTTTAAAATCACTCTAAAATTATTTTACTCAAAGTTTAAATTAAATAAAAAATTTAGTATCATTCCTATAAGTACGATTTAATTAACAATACAGTAATTTTAGTATTGTAAAATGAAAATAGAAAAAATAAAACAAATAGTTCAATTGCTGTCATTATTCATCAATAATCAATAATTACAATTAAGGGAAGTTGTTGCATAATTGTTGCATAATTGTAGCATTGTATTAATAAAAACCAACTTTTTGTAATAATTGGAACAAACAATTGCTATTATTAATCATTTTTTTGACTCAATTAATTTTGTATCGCTGATCAATAATATAATTAGACTCGCAAACTTTTTCCAATCCAAATGTACAGGAATCTTTTTATATAAAAATGTCAATGTAAACTATTGAAGTTATAAGAATCACATATTTAATATATATTCACACACTTCTAAAAAAATACCCCACAAACGACTAATATTCAACTTTGATAAATAATCAGAGAAATGCCATCTTCAACATCTGTTTCATCTTCAGAACTTACTGCAGAAGCAACTTCTTCAAATTCACAGACTTTGGAAGACTTTTCAGATTTTTCAACATATTTCAAAGCAAGAGACTTTGACTTTTTTGTTGGTTTATCTCCAATAAGATCCAAAATATAAAAGACTATTCAGGTTAATGAAACCATAAAAATGCATTTATAGAATATAAAAATAATCAGTATTCACATATTTAAAAAAATAAAAACATAAGTAATCACGTAAACAATTTAATTACTTACATTAATATCAGATCCATCATTGAGGGCAGAGTTTTTTCTCCATGTCATACGTTGAGAAGCTGGCAAATATCCTGACCTTTGGCCTTCAAAAAACAAAATGCTTTTTGTTAATGCATCACCATAGTTAAGTGGAACTGATTTTACCATTGTAGCAATTATCATTGTTAATAACAATGAGCGTTGTGACAAAATTGATATTTTGTTTCCTCTCATTTTATTTTATGTAACTCTTTCTTCAGTTTCAAGTTTGGAGTATATTATTTAAGCATTCACCATGTCAAGAATATATATAGTTAAAAATAATATGGAGCATTTATTTACTGTGATTATGATATCTGAAATTTGATAATTAGAATCAAATTATCAATTATAGGTAAATGAAAATGGTATTGTTTTGTTTATGTTAATTCCTTTTCTAACATAGAATAGAATGACAGAAAGTTTAATTAATAATTATTTTTTGGATATTTTCATTAATATTTTAATATATTAATTTAGGTTAATTATTTTTAGATTATAGAATATAGTGCTATTAGGATAGTTATGATGCGTTTAGAGTAGTAGTTTACCTTTATTGTGGAATTAAAATCAATGAAATCATAGAAAATGCCGTAAATTTCTATATTAAGAAATAAGAAGTCTAAATAAGAAATATAATAAACACTTATTTGATTTTATTAATTTTTTAAGAAACTAATTATATGCATGAGAAGTATGAATGAGAAGAATAGCAATTGAGAAGTATGTCCAGTCGATAAAATAAATATACACATCTTAACCGTTCAAGTTGCACAATCACAAAGATTTAAGAAACTTTTAGAACATAATAATAGCTAATCTATTTTAATATATGAAAATATTAATTAAAATATGCAAATCAGTTATTACGAAATAATTTTTTTGTTATGGAATCTTCCCAACAAATTATGAATCCTATAGATAATTAAATTGTAATTTTCTAAACAAAATTGTAATACAAAAAATATATTTTATAATGAAAAAAAAAATCAAATATTTATGTATATTAAAGAGTTAAAAGATAGTGCCTATAAATTTATATTGTTATCCAATAAAAATAAAAAACAAGGATTCTGCCATGTCATTAAAAAAAATTAAAATAAAAAGGTGATTTAATAGAATACATGTTGTGATCGATTGACATTGTAAAATTATATTACATTGTCATTGTATCAATCATTTTCTTTATATTAAAATAATAATAGAATTAAAGAAATATCTCTATATTTTTTTACAGACGGTTTATTTGATAAATTTATATTATCCACGCTTATTTAATTTTGAATTTATTTCATAAATTCTTATTTTATTGTTCTATATATATTTTTTCTGCTTCCGGTCTATTTCTTAAATTTATATTATTTTCACTTATTTAACTCTTATTTTATTTTCAAAGTTTTATATTATCCAAATTTATTTAATATAAGAATTAAAATCTATACATGCTTTTAGCATTTGATGATTAGCTTTCTTATTTAAATGGTGAAGAGAACTCTCTATTAACAAAAAAAAGTCCCAAAAGTAACGAAAAAAGACGTTTGCTCCAAAACACCAACTGAATTAAGCAGAAGAAGATGACCTGAAAACACATAGTACAAGCGAACCAAGGACAATACACCATCATGGATAACAACATCACAAATGCACTCGATAAACAATGACATGAGACAAGTAAAAAAAATTATCTCCAAAAACATGATTGATACATGAAGAACACTCTAGAAGTTCATAACGTGTCAATAAACAAGTCGTATAAGGAGATGGTAATGGGAAAAACAAATCAAAACATCGACGGTGCTAGCTATTTAGAAGAAGAAGATCAGTTTATAAATACTATTGACGAAACCATGAACCCTATATGAATCAAAGAATATATGCATGAGAAGTATGTTTGCCCTGAGTTTATCATCTCCAAACATGAACAAAGAAGAACCATCATGGCGCAAAGGGGTGATCGTGAATTTTCTTAGAAGACTAATAGGGTACAAGTAGGGGTGGAAATAGGGCAAACCAACTAACAGGGGCCTACGGCCTAACCTACACATGTCAAGGTCAGGTCAATTTTTTTTCTAAATAGAAAAAGCTTAGAATTTTTTTATAGGCTTATTTAGTTAAAAAGGCCCATGGGCTATTAAAAAAATCTTTTAAGCTTATCAGGCCGACCTATTTAAATGAACATGAATAACTTTATTATTATTATATTGTATTTTGTACTTGGAATTGTAATACGGAAATAAACCTTGGTTATCTCGAAGAACTTATGAAAAAAATTGAAAAAAATCTTATGAACAATGTCATAAGTTGTTTTCATAAGTTCTCTCAATCAAATAGTATCGCCAAATTTATGTTAGGCTTAGGCTTTAAAATAAGCCTATGATAGACTACACGAATGGCTTAGGCTTTGAATATTTTAGCAGGACAGACTTAGGTTTGGCAAAACCTAACTTGGCTCAGCCTATTCCCACCCTAGATACAAGGCTTTGAAGACAAGGCCAAACCAACTATGGGTAAGGAAAGGAGTTATCAACATAATTGATCTAAAAAATAATTACTTCTTAGTCACATTCTCGAATGAAGATGACCATAGTTGCGCAATGACAAATGGACCTTGGTTCATATATGATCATTACCTAACTGTGAAGAAATAAATATTAGAAAATAAATTATGGTATAGAATGGTGGCGTGAAAGGAGAGGAAAAAGTATGGAACAAAATGCTCGTACAGAATGCTGGCGTGAAACCCACATGCCAGGAAGAATATTGAAGGTTATTGGTGGAACATTAAGAGTTGAAATGGAATATTGAATGCAAGAACGTATTCGAATCCTAAAAATAATAATATTAGCTTATCCATCAGTACTCGTCTAATCATCGTTGAGGGGAGGTTATGTATCTTTAGTTGGCATTTTTCGAAGTAGTGGTGAGTGACGTCCTCAAGAGAGAATCATATGTTGGGAAGAGTCTGATATATTTTGTATCAAAGGCCCTGGACATAGAAAACATTCAATATCAAAAGATTGAGAAGGCTTCCTTAGTCGTAGTGATGGCAACATGAAATGTCATAAGGTATTTCCTTGCAAATTCATAGTGGTTCAGACATATTTGCTCATGAGGCAAGTGATTTATCGACTGGACTTGGTCGGAAGGTTAACTATATGGGCAATAGAGTTATCCGAGTCGAAAATATCTTTTAAAGAAAGGAAGGTGTTAAATCCAGAACAATTTGTCGACTTATTAGCAGGGATGATTGTCACACTAACTACGCTAGACCACACCGGAGTAGTATTCACATATGGATCATTCAAGAATCATGGTAGTGGAGAAAAATTCATACTAGGAAACACTTAATGGCTCATGATAGAAGTCCAATTGATATTTTAATTTTCGTCTACCAATTATCATGCCGAGTACGAAGTTGTAACAACGGGATAACGTTAGCCGAGGAAGTAAGGGCATAATGCCTCATATATAGGATGAATTCTAAGTTAGTAGCCTCTCAAATATGGTGTGAAGCTCGAGCTAAAGACCCATAGTTATAAAAATACCTTAAGTTCGCCAAGGAAAAAATAGAAAATTTCAGGGAATATGAAATATCCCACGTCACCAATGAAGAAAATATCCCCACTGATGTACTATCCCAATTGGCCAGCACGTAAAGTCCAAGTATCAATCACTCATCCATCCAATAGACTAAGAAAATGCTAAGTATCGATCTAGTAGGAAATTCCACGACGACATAGGAGTAGAAACCTCTCCATATTGAATCACTTCGATTAAAAAGCACATCGAACACATGAATCTACCACCATAGTCAGAGAGACCATATTTGGGGAGACCCTATACAATAGAGGTATATCCACTCCTCTGCTAAGATGCCTATAAAAGGAAAAAGCTTGATATGCTCTCCTAGAGGTACACGAAGGGATAGCTGGGCAACACCTAGGAGAAAACGCATTAGCCAAATAAGTCATGAGAGTAGAACACTTTATGCAGACCGTGGTCCAAGACACTCGAGAGTATCAAAAGCATTGTGATGGGGAATGAACCTTCTTAGTCCCTTCTCTCTGGCGCCCGGCCAACACAAATACTGGATCATAGTCATTTATTATTTTACAAAGTGGATCCAGGCCGAAGCCTTAGTGAAAATCACAACGACAAACATTTTAAAATTTTTCAAGAAGAACATTTTAGTCATATTTGGAGTTCTCCAATCCATTATGATAATCAATCAAACTCAGTTCATAGACGAGAAATTTTAGAATCTGATGGAAGAATTGAGAATCAAGCATTACTTCTCTTTAATTGAACACCACCAAACCAATGACCCAGCAGAGGTGGCGGACCAGGTACTGGTTAGAGGATTGAAGAAGAGGTTAGAGATCAAATGGTAACAAGGCAGACTAACTACCCAGTGTTTTGTGAGCATATTGTACTACCCCTCTATCAATAATAGGTGAGACTTCATATCGACTAACATATGGCGTAGAAGAAATTATCCCGCTAGAAATTGAAGAAGGGGTATGAAGGAAGGCTAACCTCCTTTCTAAGGAAACTAATGGTTCAGTCATTGAAGAAGAGATATACTACTTATAGGACAAAAGAATGTCAACCACTTTGTCCAATGCCATCGTCCAACAGGCCACAACTACCAAGTACAACCTCCATATTCGGCATGGGGAATTTGACCTATAAAATCTCGTTCTATGAAGGGCTGACATTACGGGAAAGAATAGACGTGATGACAAGTTAAATGAAAATTGGGAAGGACCAAACCTGGTAAAAGAAAGCGGTGGGTGAGGAGTATATCCGTTAGAATCTCTGAAAGGAGATCAAATACCAATATGAAAACTTACAAACATTTGAATACAATTCCTTTCTTTTATTTTGTGGCTGCTTGTTTCATTTGTCTATTTACCCCCTCTTCAAGGGAATGTTAGAGACGCTTTACACATTTGACTATAGAAACTAACACCCCACAACACCAAACACACTTAAAGAGTTTACGGTAGCTGTCAGAGATTGTGATGCGGTGGGAGAACTGACTTGGGATGTTTTGCGTTTGATCGCAAATGTTGCGATTTAGAAAGAGTCGCCACTGACTTTTCTTTTATCCAAAAGGAAAGGTGAAAAAGCACAAGAAAGACCTTTAGAGATGTTTTCTTGAGTTCGGGGGTAGATTATGAAAAGGAAAGGTA